TTAACAACTAACACTAAAACCACACAAAACACACTGTGCACTAACATGTTTTGACGTAGAACTACGTCTTTGTCGACTATACTGGGGTGCAAGTCAAAAAATATGTTTGGTGAAGGAGTGTTAGGTTTTGAACGCTTGTAACTTTGTCATTTATAGATGAAATTAAAATCCAAATACGCCAATCGAACCTGTTGAAATAAATATTTTTCCAATTTTCTGTAATTCAACTCTTGAAAATGTACAAATGATAATTCATGAAATAAGCCTTTTTCCCAAACCCAGTCATCATATACGAATACGAATAAACAACTACTGAAAAGACATCATCTCTTCAAATTGCCGTACAATCAGTGTTTGGTCCCAATTAGCTCTAATACCTATGCATATCTTCTTCTTCTTCTTCTTCTTCTTCTTCTTCTTCTTCTTCTTCTTCTTCTTCTTCTTCTTCTTCTTCTTCTTCTTCTTCTTCTTCTTCTTCTTCTTCTTCTTCTTCTTCTTCTTCTTCTTCTTCTTCTTCTTCTTCTTCTTCTTCTTCTTCTTCTTCTTCTTCTTCTTCTTCTTCTTCTTCTTCTTCTTCTTCTTCTTCTTCTTCTTCTTCTTCTTCTTCTTCTTCTTCTTCTTCTTCTTCTTCTTCTTCTTCTTCTTCTTCTTCTTCTTCTTCTTCTTCTTCTTCTTCTTCTTCTTCTTCTTCTTCTTCTTCTTCTTCTTCTTCTTCTTCTTCTTCTTCTTCTTCTTCTTCTTCTTCTTCTTCTTCTTCTTCTTCTTCTTCTTCTTCTTCTTCTTCTTCTTCTTCTTCTTCTTCTTCTTCTTCTTCTTCTTCTTCTTCTTCTTCTTCTTCTTCTTCTTCTTCTTCTTCTTCTTCTTCTTCTTCTTCTTCTTCTTCTTCTTCTTCTTCTTCTTCTTCGAATTCGATCCATCATCTCTGGATCAAAATCAGAACACTATCATGCCGCGACCGACTTTGGTTGCCTTAAAAATACATGGTGTGTTAGATTTAAACAAATAGGAATTGACATCCGATTGATCACCTTGATGAAATGTCCAGAAAATACTATGTATGTATGTATGTAAGGTAGCCACCATCCCTTCAAGACTTATCTTGTATGCAGCTCCACTTAATAGCAAGATCAATTTGAGCTACCGATCTGAATTCACAATATCGCTGTATGAAGGGCCAAAAACGGAAGGGCGGACCCGTAAGCAGAGACACTTACGCGAAATCCACGGGAATTTAAGAATCTCCTTCCAACGATACGCTCCAACAAATCGAATAACACAATTCGCAATACTTATTAAGCTTCCTACTGGATGGTTTGTTAAGAAGGGCGCGTCAATCGCCCTGAAACTGTTGGAGTAGAATTCGCACCACCACAATCGAATCGGTAGGATAAAGAAAATGATAGTGTTTATTCCCTCCTAGACTCCGGCTGTCAATCATACCATCGTCCAGTTTCAGTTTGAATGATACCCTGATGCTCCCTCCCAACCCAGTATTGATTAATATAATGAAAATATGCAATGGAGAAATGAAATATATAAGAACATTAAAATATTACATAATAAAATACATTTATATGGATAATATAGTTGCTACTGCAATGAAGAGGTATTTTACATATAATAAGATGCAGCTCTATACCTCCTCAGCTCACACTGGCAGGTGGATGCAATCATATATATGCATATTTTAATTGCATTGTTATCAAGCAACATTTAGATAAATCAACGCCTAGCGCGCTCCAGAAACAATACAGGTTGTAAAACAATATAACAAGTATGTAGTAATATTCAGGATCCACATATAAGGCGACTCATGAATATGTATGTTCATGTGCAGGATTCGCCTCAAGTTGGCGATGCAACCAAAAGTATGTATTGTTTATTTGTTGTTTTTTTTATTCTCTCGATAGCCGACATATTTATTTTGTATAGTGATCATGAATTTTAAGAGTCATGACGGAGAGCTTGGGATTGAACCCATGATTTTCTGCTCAGTAAGCTAAAACGATCGAGCATCTCATAATCCACAGCGCTTCGCTTCAAAGTGCGATGCATTAGACTATTCTTGAATTAATCTGAACGAATGCTGAAAAAATAAATTATTACAATACAAATCTAAAGATGTTTCTCCTTTGAAGAGCTGAAAAAAGTTGAAAAAAGCTGAAAAAAGGCTGAAAAACACATATCAAGATCAGTGTTTGGAAAAACTCGAAACCTCAAATCTCGTGCTCTTGGCTCGCAAAACTCAATCACCCCGATGAGTTTTCTGGTTCAAAAAATCATTACTTTTTATTTATTGCATCAGCGGATGGAAAACTAACACATAATTGTATAAACATGCAATCAATTGACGTTTGAGAGGAGCAATACAATAGTTGGGTGAAGAAGAGTTGCATTATAACACCCCATCCACTGAAAATGCTTTTGGCAATGCGGGGCTGCGGGTAGTTATGAAACGTCGCTAGAACAATTCCACAGCCGCAGACAGTATATGAGCAATAATATCAAACAAATGTATATATCTATATATTGCAGTTATGTTAATTCTGAAATTAAAAAAAAATAAAATCATTCAGCTGTCATTGAATATCAAAATTTTAGTTATTGGAATCCGATAGCTAGAAAACGGAATCCCTCCTACAGATGCCCTGGATGATTTAAAATACTTTACCATGAATTGAATATAAAAAGCTAATATCACATAATTTGAAAACTAATGCCATGATGCAATAAACCATAAGCGGATGAAATACAAATTAATATTATATAACACAATTTCATATAAAAAGAAGGAAAGAATAATGTATGCAGGTATGTTGAACTGAAAAATTGTATTCAAGAAATCAACATATTTACAGCCAAGCTAGACCAATAGAAAATAATGCTTTTTGTGTAATATTGTTCAGTATGTTGTATAATATTAATTAAATCATTTGGCATCGTGGGCTAACGGATTTCTAGTTTGACTGAAACAAAATGAGAAATATTGATGTTAAACAATCATGTATTCCATTTAATTACAATGTGAAGTACCAAAACAAAAACCTGGTCCACAACCTATAAATAATAAATAAATAATATCTGGTCAAAAGTGATTTAAATAATTATTACGGAAATGGAAAATCATTCATCTAGCTCTTATAAGCACCGTCGGTCATTCTGCTAACACCACGTCCACACCACGTCCACCACGTTGTACCATACAAACTCGAGCAAAAGAAAGGGACGACCAGTTTCACACCGCTCGTTCTCCTCTACTAGTCATGAGTCAAAAGCAACACGAGACAACTACATTTACATCGTCATGGGGAAAAAAACATACACAAACAGGAAAAATTTCTAGGCCGAGCAGCATCAAAAGGCGCCATCCATTCAGTACGTCACGCTTTAAGAAGAGTCGATGGGGGTTTTAGAAATCTGTTACAAACAGCCCATGTTATAGGAAAAGCGTAGTGAAAATGAGAAGGGAAAGTTTATTTATAATAAGCAAATTGTGACGTAATTAATGGATGCTGGGAACAATAAAGTTACATGGTATGTAAAGCGAACAAACAAGAGGTTGAACAAAAAATCGGGCAACCAGAAGGGAAACGTCGATACCTAATATTAAAAAAAACAGCAAATCAAAGAACATAGTTGTAATGGAACATTCTCACCAAGTTCTCCACCATGATAAACACAGCATGCCAATTATCGCCATCGTGATGCTTTTTTTTTCGCACATGAAGTTGAACGTTGCTGTCAGCATATGTCACAGCACGCCTGAGATTATAACATCGCCGTCTCGCCGGTCTCGCCAGCTAACTATCGCCTGCTCTTCCAGATTTGTACGACCACTTTGTCGTTTTCGTTGAGTTATGCTGAGCTATTAGGGTGTTCAACACAGATGAGGCTGGTGAGCTGTATGTTGTTTGGAACAAGGGTGACGCGCTTGGCATAGATGGTCCACAGCGACTCATGAAGAGCTATTGATTCATCAGTAGCGGTGTGACTTCTTCCTCGTTCTTCGGTGAATGGGCGCTCCTGTGGGCTGCAGCTAGCTTTGTGTACTGGAGAACATTGTTCAACGACACGCGCCGAAAGCACTGCGCACTGCTGCTGCTGCTGCTGCTGACGAACGACCGAACACCACCATTCACGGTGATTTAATAAACACCGTTCAGTAAGACCGGATGGAATTCGATTTTGAAATCTGTGTTGGGGAAAGCGCATTTTGTAGGCAATCGGTGATACTTTTGACCGCCATTGCAACAGTTGAACATTTGTGTAATTTTCAATTGTGACCTATTGAAAATTAATAAATTGTTCATTTTAGCAGATTCGTAATTTCCAAGCAATTGGCTTGTTTGGAATTAAAATCCATCCGCTATTGACAGAGTTATAAGTAGTCAAAACCTGACCACTTTTCGTAACGTGATCGATTTTGGTTTTTTGAAATTGCACCCCCAATATGTTGCCGAAAGACGTAATCCTACGTCAAAATGAATCTCACGAACAGTCGCAATTTGTTTTCCAAAATCCTTTTGACATATACTTCCACTATAAGAATGGAATCATGAACTGGACGAAACACAACAAGAACCTGTAGCCCTGGAGCGTTATCAGAGATAGATAGATTTTATTAAGAGATTATTGAATTTCTTACGCTAAACTCATCGCGAGATAAAGCTGTTTTCATGCGTCGAGATTCTAACTGGACCATGATTTACAGCTGTTCATATATTATAGGAAAGCTGAACTTAAGGTTCAATTTACTTTGATGCATTTTTTTAAAATTCAAAAGCAGTTTTTTTCGATGCATTATTTTAGATTGCAGAAAGCTCGCGTCATTTTGTGTCAAATATCAAAAGGAATCGAATAGTGCGAGCTTTTTGAAATCTGAAATAATGCGTCGGAAAAAAACAGCTTTTGAAATTTTCCAAAAAGCATCACAGTAAATTGAACCTTAAGATAAAAAGATTTTGCAAAAACACTACTAAACTGGTTGACTACTAAATTAGCAAGATTTTTGACACGATTTGAGCTATTGTATTAAAACGCATTATTTCTCAATAGCTACATTTTACTTCAAAAATTTATTTTTATTTTGCTCATTTTCAATCAACATAATGATTTTTTCTTTTCGTAAAAATTTACTACAACTCGTTCATGACGAAACAATTTATCACATGATCAATAAAGTGCGAAACTTTACCAATCTAACAATTCAAGATTTCATAAATCTATCCATCTAGACTGCTTTAAAACATTGTCAATTCATTTATACGGGCAAGGTACTGTTACACTGTATAAGCCTAATCAATTTAATAAATTAGATAATTATTGAAGATCCTCTATCGATATCGAGCTTTAATATACTTTGGATTATGTTTCTATTTAAAAACTTAAATTAATTCTGGACAATAGTACCTAGAAGTACACAGTGTGTTTTTAAAATTCTCAATATGAAAGGAAAAATCCTTTTTACCGGATGCAAAAGCATTGGCTGCTTTGTAAACGTACCAGACGGGCATTTTTGTTTATTTCTTATTATAAAATCTCCAGTTGTTCATTGTATTTAATCACAGTCTGCTAAAGGGATATTCTAGCACATTTACAACAGGATGGCAATTGAATCAGCTCTCTGTACGGTTTGCGCGCATCAAGGTTTATAGCCACAAGTGTCCGGTAGTGATATAGTTGCTTACATACGGTATTTCCATCGCAAAACTTACACGGTTTGCCCTCGTTTCTGGAATGATGGAATAAGTGTTTTATTTTTCAAAATGTCTTTCCATAATTAATATTCATCTCACACGAGTATATTCTACATAATAACTACCATAACTTACCGGCATTTTTCGATTCTTACGCCCTGCTTGTAGTTTTTTGTATTGACGATCCGAACGCTTGAGTTTTGCCACGTGAAACCTTCTGCAGGATGGATCAGGGTTTCTTCACTGTCACAGAAATATTGATCGTTGGAAATATCAAAACGTGAATTCAGTTTATCTCCATTCACCATGTCATTTCCAAAGGCTCCTTCAAAGCTATTTATATGTTGATTCATAATTTCATCGATAAGTTCTGTTGGGTATGTTTCCAGGGGATCTGAAAGAAAAAGTTATTATTCAGTATAGTGAAATCATCTCAATGCCAGATAAAAAATATGTGCATACCGCTAGAACCTTCTCTATCTATTACAGTAGTCGGATTGATTCCAACATCACCAATAGAATTGGAGGTGGAAGTAGTGGAGCTTGTTATGTCTGTACTAGGAAACACGTATGTAAGTGTACCATTACGGTGCTTAACTGTGTACGATTGGTAAGGGTTGAAATCCTTACCAATGATCCGTAGTGGGCGTCTTGTACGTTTAATTTGTCTGACCTGTAATAGTTTTTACCATACATTACTGTACATTCAATCAACTTTTCAAAACTTCTGGCATACAGCCATATCCGGAGCATCATCTTCATCTTCGGAAGTAGGCTTAGGGTTGGAGTATCCTTTACGGCCGTAAACTATTTTGATTACATCTTGAGCATCTTCGTCCACTATTGACCCCTGAGTAGTGGATGCAATCGTATTAACTGCATCAAATCTGGGTTGAATTCCCAATGCCGAATTAGGTGGCTAGAAAGGGAAAGAACTAATCATTACGCATAACAAACAGCTTTTCACCACCGTTGAAATGATTAAGTTTTGATTTTTCAAAAAAAAAGTTATCATAAATCATAACATTCTAAAAAAAAATGCACGTGTAGGTCATCGGCGACATGAACGCTCAGGTAGGACGCTCCGGTAGGACGGGAGGCAATGTATAGACCGGCAATCGAACGACAACGGCCAACTTTGCGTGAACTTTGCAGCCTCTCGAGATCACCTGACCAACTCACAGAAAACCAAATAGATCACGTTCTAATCGACGGGAAATTCTTCTCCGACATTATCAACGTCCGCACGTACCGCAGTGCGAACATAGATTCGGACCTCTACCTAGTTGCAGTATGCATGCGCTCAAAACTCTCGACGGTTCATAACACCCGTCGAAGTCGAACGCCGCGACCCAACATTGAGCAACTACGGGACGCCGGAGTTGCCCAGGACTACGCGCAGCAGCTGGAAGTTGCACTACCCGTGGAAGAGCAGCTTGGCGCAGCTTCTCTTAAATATGATTGGAGGGAAATCCGTTTCGCCATAGGTAGTACTGCTGCAGCGGCACTAGGTACTGCAATCCCGGACCGAAGAAATGACTGGTTTGACGGCGAATGCAAACTGTAAGTAGAGGAGAAGAATGCAGCACGGGCGAGAATGCTGCTACACCGCACGAGATTGAATGTGGAGCGATACAGACAAGCGCGGAACAGACAAAACTCGGTTTTCCGAAGGAAGAAGCGCCAGCAGGAAGACCGAGATCGCGAGGCGATGGAAAATCTGTACCAGGTAAACGACGCACGGAAGTTCTACGAGAAGCTAAATAGTTCGCGCAAAGGCTACATGCCGCAAGCCGATATGTGCAAGGACTTGGACGGTAACCTTCTCACGAACGAGTGTGTGGTGATTGAGAGGTGGAAGCAGTACTATGACGAGCACCTCAGCGGTGAAGCAGCAGAAAACGAAGGTGGCACGGCAAAAGACCTTGGAGCGCGCGCAGAAGACGACAGGCTACCGGCCCCTGATCTTCAAGAAGTTGAGGAGGAGATCGGTCGGCTGAAGAACAACAAAGCAACTGGTGTAGATCAACTAACAAGTGAGCTATTGAAATACGGTGGTGAAGCACTGGCTAGAGCGCTGCACTGGGTAATTGCCAGGATTTAGGAGGAGGAGATATTACCGGAGGAGTGGATGGAAGGTGTCGTATGTCCAATCTACAAAAAGGGCGACAAGTTGGATTGCTGCAACTACAGCGCGATCACACTGCTGAGCGCCGCCTACAAGGAACTCTCCCAAATTCTATGCCTCCGCCTGTCACCATTTGCAAGAGAGTTCGTGGGGCAATACCAGGCGGGATTCATGGGTGCCCGCGCTACCACGGACCAAATTTTCGCGATTCGGCAGGTTCTGCAGAAATGCCGCGAATACAACGTGCCCACACATCATTTGTTCTTCGATTTCAAATCCGCATACGACACAATCGATCGAGATCAGCTATGGCAGATTATGCACGGATACGGACTTCCGGATAAACTGACGCGATTGGTCAAGGCGACGATGGATCGAGTGATGTGCGTTGTTCGAGTATCGGGGACACTCTCGAGTCCCTTTGAATCTCGAAGGGGGTTACGGCAAGGTGATGGACTTTCGTGTCTTCTATACAACATTGCGTTAGAAGGTGGGATCAGAAGAGCTGGGATAGACACGAGTAGCACGATCTTCAAGAAGTCCATCCAGCTTCTTGGCTTCGCCGATGACATTGACATCATGGCACGGAACTTTGAGACGATGGCGGAAACGTACATCAGACTGAAGGCTGAAGCTAGGCGGATTGGACTTGCCATCAACGCATCAAAGACAAAATACATGAAAGGAAGAGGAAGACAATGTTAGCCTCCCACCCAGAGTTCAGATTGACGGTGACGAAATCGAGGTGGTCGATGAGTTCGTGTATTTGGGCTCACTGGTGACCGCCGAAAATGATACCAGCAGAGAAATTCAAAGACGCATTATGGCAGGGAATCGTGCCTACTTTGGATTCCGGAGGACGCTCCGGTCGAATAAAATTCGCCGCCGCACGTAGTTGCCTGTATACAGGACGCTGATTAGACCAGTGGTCCTCTACGGCCACGAGACCCGGACTATGCTCGTGGAGGACCAACGCGCCCTTGGTGTTTTCGAACGGAAGGTGTTGCGTACCATCTACGGTGGAGTGCAGATGGATGACGGAACGTGGAGGAGGTGAATGAACCACGAATTGCACCAGCTGCTGGGAGAACCATCCATCGTCCACATTGCAAAAATTGGGCGACTACGGGGGGCTGGGCACGTCGTAAGAATGCCGCACGACGACCCAGTGAAAATGGTTCTAGAAAGCGACCCAACAGGAACAAGAAGAAGAGGCGAGCAGCGGGCAAGGTAGATCGACCAAGTAGAAGGCGACTTGCGGACTCTTCGCAGACTACGAAGCTGGCGAAGTGTGGTCATGGATCCAGTAGAGTGGAGACGAATTCTTCGGACAGCAGAGGACAATAAGGCCTTAGTCTGATTGGTAAGGTAGGTAAGTATGGTGGTCACCTTTCATTCGAAGATCTTGCCTTGTATCGAAGACATCATATTAAGAAGACTGGCAACTTTGCCAGAATCCAATCGACAGATACAGTAGAGCTGCACTTGAGCGAAGGTGGAAGAAACGCGTAGAAAAAATGAGCATATACACAAACCTTTCTTCTGAGGATGTAACCTTTGCTATCAAATTCGTTCGAAGCATTAACCTTTGAGCGGTAGATGACGCGATTGTACCTGTCTCATAGCGGTCGTACGAGAAAATGGAAGAGTTGCCAGTCTTCTTGATATGTTGTTTTCGCTTGTATGCAGCTCCACTTAATAGCAAGATCAAATTCAGCTACCGGTCTGAATTCACAGTACCGTGAATACCCGGTAATCCGATCGGGTTTTTAACCTTATTAGAGAAGCTTAACCTGACCGTTTTTAATCTGAACAGTTTTAGTTTGACCCCGCTAAGCTGCACGCAGAGCAGCAAAATTGCTCAAACGTCATTTTGCGCATGGATTGTCTGGCGTATATAATTTGGATCTATCAAAAAGCGGAACTTATTCAATGTAGTGCAATAATTGACAAGGCACTATCTTTTTTTTATAAACAAAACTGTGAAAGTTCTTTCCTAGCCAACCTAACGCCAATTAACATTATAGGGGATACTTTTCCTATCCTGTTTGAGAGACTTGAGTCACGAGAAAAGGGTTTCCGAAGTTTTGTTCGCAAAAGCTGATGTGCTCTTTTCTGTTGTCGGTCGTGATATGCTCGATTGGTTCCGCTATTTGACAGGTCAATTGGCTCCCAACACGGTAAGAAAAAAAATACTCAAAATTAAGTTAAAAAAAAAACTCAACGTTGGGTTCTATCATTTGAGGTCCGTCGTTGAGTGAATCAGAAAAGCGGCGTTGGTTAAAATTTACTCAACTATTGAGTAATAATAAATTAACTCAAATATAAGTTTATTTTCATTGAGGTTGCTCTTATGCGCCTTTAACCATATCATTTTCACAAGCGTTGATAGATGAGTGGTCAACACACGGGCCCCGTAATCTCAACGTTCATGGTTCGGTTCCAGTCTGCTCCGTTTTATTATTTTTTGTGTCAACTTGGTCAACGTGGATTCATAATCAGGATTACTCAAAATTGAGTTTTCTTCTTTAACTTAATTTTACCTAGCCCCACGGAAGCCACGTGATGAGTGAAAGGAACTCAATTTTGGGTACTTTTTCTTTCTGTGAAGATTCTATTCACCAGACTATAAATTTAGCGACTATAATGGAATGGAGTGAAGCGAAATGGAACGATGCGAAACGGAACGCAGAATCAAAACAAAACAGAAAATAAATCGATCAGAAACTCGGTTTTCTGATGGTCACTAGGGTTACTAGAAGTTCAAATTAAAATTAAAATCTCTGGAGTGGATGTGACCAATTTAGTCTGGGACACTCGATGCGTTCCAGGATCCTGTTTTAGAATTCTGATGTAATTTGAAGTATATGATGGATTTTTGTAATAGTCAGAAACTGGCCACTTCCTCGAGGAACCTGGAACATAGCCGGATGCGGCCAATGTGGTCTAAGATACTCGGTTTGTGCATTGATCTTGGTTTTGATTTCTGATGAAATTTTATGTGTCGCATTATGGGTAGTCAGGAACTCGCCACTTTCCCCGGGGTTCCTTAAACATGTTCAGATGTAGACATTGTGGCCCTGGGTTCTAGGTTTAAGCTATCATTGAACTTGGTTTTGAATCTTTATTTGGTTTGAGGTGCCGCATGATGGGGTTTGGTCAAATCAGAAATTTCCTAATTCCCCTTGGGTTCCCGGAACATGTCCGGATGTGACCAATGTGGTTCTGGGCACTCGGCATGACCACCAATGATATGGCATTAACACGTTATAAGTAGCTGCCAGTTTCATAACCCATACTTGCCGGAACATGTTCCATATCTTCAGAACCAGTTGACCGAATTCCAAAAATATTCAATAGCGTTCTTTGAGATCATAGCATTCGTTTGGTGGGTGCTGCATCCAGTTTAGATCTGTGGTCGCTAAGAAACATGACTAATGGCTCAGAACCCATGACCCATGACCCATTCCAAAACTATTCAATAGTGTTCTATGAGATCATGAAACCATTCTTTTGGCGGTTGTTACGTCTAATTCAGTTCAGTGGCTGGGAGCGGGACATTACGCTGAAGGACGTTTTGCCAAAGGACGTTCCGCCGAAGGACGTTTCGCCAAAGGACGTTTAGCCAAATGGGTCATTTCACCGAAGCTCATTTCGCCGAATGGGTTATTTTGCCGAAGGGGTCATTTTACCGAAGACAAGCCATTTTCTACGGTTTTGAACTGAGCTTTGACAGTTAATTTTGAAATCAGTTTCGAAAAAAGATTAAGAAGGTTCGATTTTGTTTAACC